CTATGTTTGAACCTCTGCATTGTCGTTTCCTCCCCATTAAATGGAAAAAATGTAACAAATATTTAAATTAACAAATAAATATTTCACACTCTTTTTAAATAAGTTAAAATTTATTAATGCCAAACCGAGCATAGCTCAAATGATTAAGACACCTATCTCTAACAAAGAGGTCATGAGTTTGAAACTCCATCTCCACTTGTTTTATAAGAAAAAAAAGTTAATGCTAACAATATATATACATGTGTGTGTGTATATATATATATTATATTTTGTCAATTTTTCTTTTTATTTTTAGGAAATATCGATTCACCTCTTTGAACATATATAAATGTCGAAAGAAATGTTACCATGTCAGGACAGAAATTTAATAGTTTGTTAGGTTTGGGAAAAAAATCAAAGGCAATGAATTCTTGGCAAGTACACATCACGTACATGATTAATAATGGACACTACAAACAAATTAAAAAGCTGGCGAAGGGTCTTTGGTTGTTCATATTTAATATATATTCATAAAGTCGTCGATCCATAATAAGAGTTTAGTGACATTAACATTAACTCTAACTTGTATTAAAAAAAAAACATTAACTATAACTTGGTTTGTGAATTTTGATTGAATGACTTATAACTTATAAGTTATAATAATGTCAAAATAAGCCTAATTTAACAGTAATTGACATATATTTTTAACAAGAGGTTGTGAGTTCGATCTCTCATCCCTCATGTTATATTTTAAAAAAATAATTATTATAATAATTCTATCGCATAAATATCAAACTCAGGATCACTTGTTTTCATCTGATCATACACTGCTGAATCACCAGTATCCAGATCCAAAAACTTGCTTTCAGATCTAGTTGTAGCTTAAGGTGTCGTAACTGGTCATTATTATAAGAAATACAATTTTCAATTACTTTTTAGAAACAAATTAAGTAGGAGAATATGAATTAAGAAAACTAGGATTTTATTATTATTATTATTATTGTTTTTTATAATAGACGAGACATAGTTCAAAATATGTATATTTTTAAAAGAAAAAAGAAAACATAGTTTTAAATACGGTTAACTTATAGCTTTTTTTTAGTGTAACAAATTGTGGGTACGAGAATTTGAATATCAAAATTTAAAGAAAAAGAGTAGATACAAATTACTATTGGGCAATATGTTTTTTAGTACAACAATTTGGACAATTATTGAGCAATGTTCATGTTGACAACAACTTATATATAATCAATCAGAGTCCGAACAAGAAATTGATGCTCGGATGGCCTAACATTATGCTAAAATCTTCTAATGATATTTTAAAAGAAACTATGTCAATCCAAATTCCGTTTCTCGTTTTGAGATTAATATGTGTTTTGCAGTATTTACATATTTGTTTTTAAAATTGTTACCGTATTCTCTAATCTAAACGGTGGAAATTCTGAAAACAACATTTTTATATTTGTAATGTTTCATTTTTATCTCTTCCCATTCATGGCTTGATCAAGGATTTTCTTAAGGAGACTTTCTTCCCACCTTTAATTAATTAACAAGGAGCCGCAACATCCTATGATCCAAGGGTGTGTGATCCATTTTATGGTTCATTTGGTTGGAAAGGAACAATAGACTCTTGTTAATTCCTCAAAATAATGCTCTCAGACTTGGAGGATATAAAGATTTAGCCTCATTGTGGTCCTTCAAATCCAATTTCTTTTGTAATTACAATATGACCACTATTTCTCTTAATTTGGATGCTTTCATCTAGCCTCTCCTTTTGTGACTTTTGTATGGTTCTCACATACTTTCTAATGAAATGGTTCGATATCTTTAAAAAAAAAATAGAATTATATTAAAAAAGATTAAAAACTTTAATAGATGTTATAAACTTTTATATATATATATATATATATTATAAAATTGTAAAATTATAATTATACAACATTTATAACAAAAATGTTAACAAACTAGTTAATATTATTTTAGATTAAACTATTTAGTTGGTAACTATTACCGGTTTACAAATATATTACTAAACATACGTTGAACAATTTTTTAAATCGAAATTCAATTTCTAAATATGCTACTAAATATATATTTGAAACACTGAAAACAAATAATACAACTCTATTTTCATTAAATCTCTTGTTTTCAAATTTTTGTTTTTTTAGTACCAACCAACCGCATCAAAACCTTTTCATGCATATCTTTCTAAAATAAGATGAATCAGGTCAATTATTAAATCCTTTAAAAATTGATTTGTCAAATTAATGATTAAATGACTCATTAATTAGCCATTGGTTGATAATTAAGAACTTTGAATAATAGTTTTTCAAAAAAAAAAAAAAAGCTTTGAATTATATATCTTGCAGTCAATGACACATTAATTAGCCGGGATCGTTCTTTTGTTCTAAAGAGGAACTCGAAACTATAATTTTTTTAGTGTATGTTTAGCCAAATTTATTTGGGGTGGTATGATTATATTATTGGACTCTATACAGTGAGTATGGATCTGTCGCATTAATAGAAGTCGTTCATCTAGATGTAAAGTACGGAAGATTTTGCTTGAGTCGGCTGCCACTATTTTTCATATTTGGAGAGAATGTAATTCCAAATTGCCTCTTAATTCAAAAGCTTTCTTTCTGTAGGTATGTTCCTTACATACTTCTTTGAATGAAATGGTTTCGGTTTCTCTTAAAAAAAGAAAAAAGAACTACTTCTTGTCGTGCTCCAGCTATCTTACATATTGTTAAAAGCGATTATGTCTACTACGCTCATGCCACTAGTCTATGGGATAGCATTTGTTCTAGCTCTCATTGATTGATAGGGTTTCCTAGAAGATTTATTTGCATAAACGAGTTGTTTGTTTTGCTTATGATGTGGTAATGTGTTTCTTTTGTTATTTATCTACTTTAGTTGATTTTTTTTTTGGTGAATCACTAGTAGAAATTCGGTTTATCGTGACGTTTTTTTAATGTCACAAAAATCTTTTGTGACGTTTTTAACACCGTCAGATATACGTCCATCACGAAAGGTATACGAGACGTTTAAAAAACATCACAAAAATTAGCACACGTGACGGTTAATTATCGTCATGAAAGACACGGACTTTCACGACGTCATAAAACGTCATGAAAAATGATTTCGTGACGGTGATACAAGGTCACGGAAAGACCTTGAACAGGGGAGGAGAGGTCACGTGACATCCTTTCGTGGCGTTGTTTAAACGTCAAAAAAAGAATATTTCGTGATGCTCGATAATTGTCCTCAAAAATATTTTTGTGACGGTTTACAAACGTCACTAATGATTTCATTTGAGATGATCAAAAAAGAGTCATAGAAAATTATTTAATTTTGATTGCAGATGTCGCGTAATAGAAATATCATATAGTCAAATTGTCGATCGAACACGCAAATATATTAATTTAGATAACAAAGTTNAAAAAAAAAAAAAGAAAGAGAGAAAAATATTGGCACTGCGATCAACAAACAAATGAAATTATTATAACTACATAAAAAATCAAGAATTTTGACATAAACAACTGCGAGGCTTCGGTCACTCATATCATCAAGTCACCAATTTTCTTAATAGGGTATGCTTGTAGGAATATATTATACTTTCAACATCATGATTGTACTCTAGGATCACCATTGCAGATAGAAAAATCATCGCTCAAGCAGAATACATCTACGTTTCATCATAAGTGGAATTGAAACGACACGGTCTAGGATCCGAGATATAGATCGAACATGCTCCCTTGAAACTTGAATATGTCACCAACATCTTAATATATGTTTCAAGATTGAAGAATGATTTGAGAGCACTGAAAAAAGAGAATGAATGGAGAAGTGTATACCTTAGAGTACAATAACCATTTCATAATAAACACATACAATTAATGCTTTTATTACAACACTTTTTTAATTATTGAGTACCATATAAATATCATAACATATCTAACAAAGATAAAGTAAAAACATGCATAATAGCCATGATATTCGAAACAGAAAACTTTGAAGAAATATGTGTATAGGACCATCAATTATCCTCCTCGCGTGATTTAAATTGAAGTTTAATCTCTCGATTGTTGAGAGGCTGTAAAGGTCTGGCATTAGTGTTTGAATCCTGTGTATATAAACAAATTTTATTTTAAAGTATAAACAAAAATAAATAGCATATGTAGGCACAACAACACTGAGATAATTACTATGGTAAGTAAGAAAGATTATATCTCTAACTCATACATGGTCTTTTAAATATAGTTTAAAAACATCAACTGAGCAATGATTCGATTAGTTTAGACATATATAATCGATCAAAATATGAGAAATCTGAATCTCCACTCTATAAGTTGAACTAGAAAAAATATTTAATTAACTAAACAATATAATTTACGTACCAAGACCTGAGATAAATATAATTAATCACTTGTACCTTTTTTGATGATAATATATATTTTTTGTTTACCTTTTTTTTTTTTTAATCTTTATAACCAATCTTATAATATCTACTCATACTTATATTTTCTTTGCTTCATTTTTCACTATTTGAAAATAAATTTAAAATTTTAACCAAATTTTGGAAAAAAAGGGTCCTTGAAACTACATATTTTAGCTCTTAAGTATGATTTTGAAAGAAGACTTTAAAAAAAATAGTAAATAAGTATAATTTTCAAAAAGAAAAATCGAAAGTAAATATAAATAATGTGAGTCATCAGTGTGAGATTCGAACTCATGACTTCTTTGTTAGAGACAGATGAAGCTCATGTTGGCAAATATATAAAGTTAGTTAATACTTAAAAAGCATAACATATTTTAAAAAATAATTTTATGGCTTAACTAAAATTTTATTTTATTTTTTAATTCCAACATAAACTTAACTCAACGATAATTGACACTTGTATTTAATCTAGAGGTCATGAGTTTGAATCCACACCTCCGTTTATTGTATTAAAAAAACATCTTTTTTTTTATTTTTGTTTTTCTCAAAGTAACTTAGTCACATACCTATGTGATTAACTCAGATATGATTAGTTATAATCATATAAACTATTAACATCCCTGTAATAATTGATTTACATATTGTGATATTTGTAATTATTTTTAGCTATTATTTTTGTAATATTTTATCTTAATTATGTTAGATTTTTAACTACCTCAAACTAATAAAGTAAAAGCCTCATCAAACGGGCTCTTAGATAACTTTTGCACTTACATCGTGAACAGCAACACGAAGCAACTCCACTTGTTTGGGTGCAACAGTCCAAACCTAAAAAACGCAAAATGGAAATTAAAATTTAAAACCCAAAGCAAAAATATAATTTTGAGAATAATTAATTAGGAAAGCAAATGAATAAGATATAGAGGTTTAATTTAAGTGAAAAATACCTTTCTGACAATAGTCCAAATCACATTTTGAGTACATGGAGGAATCGTAAGAGAGCCCATATACCTATAATACAGACCTCTTTGCATCTTTAACAATGATGGATCAATTACATTCAATACCTTTTCTTTGTTCGTATCTGAAATTTCTTCCAAATGTTCCTTTATCTAACAAAAAAAAAAAAAGAGATAAACAAATGGTGAGGAAAAAGTTTTAAATTTAGAGCGTATTAATTGTATTTTATTATACCTAGTAAAGATTAACTCCTCTTAAAAGATCGAAGTTTTGAATCTTTACCCATACTTGAATGGTAATATCGTATTTATATAAACATTTAATTTTGCAAGAGAAAATAGACATGCTCTTTTTTAAATAATTTTGTTGATCACATACCACTATTTATTTTTTATTATTACTATTTTTTTGAAATCCGTGTGTTTGGGTTAGCTTGCGTGCACCTCGACTAACCATGGGCCAACCGCCTGACCCTACTACATTTGGTTGACAAGGTAACTTGTAGGATATTAAATCTTAGGTAGGTGACCACTATGGTTTGAATTTATTCCCTTTAAGTCTTATATTTTACAAGTCACTACTACACAACTTTTTCGTCTTCATTTTAAAGAAAGAGTTGCCGCAACGGTAGTTTTGAAACAAGTTTTGAAGTTTTAAAGGTAAAAATAAAATTCTTGAAACTTTAGGGTGTTATTGAAACTATTAAAAACAAAACCCTAATTTTGTTTGTGTTGAGAGGTTTTGAATTTGATACTTACTGTGGACAAGAAATAGTCAGGTTTTCCAGTGTCATAGACAATTCCAATAACAGCAACACCTCCAGATAGACTTTGGTGCACCAAATGAGCTTCTAAAGCAAATATTCTGCCATTGATAGTGTGCTCAGAAGGTGAGTGCCAATGGCACTGTTTAAGAAAATATTGAGTTCCATTCACTTCGATATGTCCAGCTCCATCATCCCATTTCAGCTGCACACCATAAAAAACATAGGATAAATATAATTTAGTCCCGAACAAGAACGACTATATATCACTTTTTAACTAAAGATATTGTACAAATCTTAGCTCAATTGGTTAAAGAACCTATCTCTAACCAAAAGGTCGTGAGTTCGAATTACAACCCTCACAAAGTTATACTAAAAAAAAAAAAACTAAAGTCTCACGGTTTTGCTTTTGGTTTCACCCAAAAGGAGATAATTGTCCATGAATCACTCCCTTCCCTATAGTCAATGTGGGATATGAAAACGTCGTATGAATATTGTTATATGAATGAAACTTAGGTAATAAATAGCGGGGAATTATATGCCTATGTATACCATTATATCATGGCCTCTGTTTTTGAGTGTTGCATTGGAAGGCTTATAGTAGWTTTTGAGGTCTCGAAAATGGGGTACAATTCGAACTCTCTTGTTCAAAAGATCAATAGGAGATTGCATGGATCCATTTTTACAGTTATGCCATTCTTGTTTAAGATCTCCCCAACCGGCAGGTCCTTTCATTCCATCTTCGTCATAATCAAACTCTCTCTCATTGTCTGAATGAACATTAAAACAAGTCAATTTTATACTAAAAAAAAATACTATACCTCTCATTATTGTGTGATTTAAAATAAAATGAGAACAGTTAATATAATTGGAATTTTTTAAAACGTAATCGTAACTAGTTACGGACGTGAACGTTGACTCAACTAGCCCATGCATTACTTACCTCTCTCTAATGGGAGGTCCGAAAACAAGAAGAAAGAAAGAAAAGAAAAAACAATGGAACTAGTCAAAGACAATGCTAAATAGTTAAAAAAAACCAACTAAAAACTCATAGTAATCGAAATACTCAGTTAATATGAATATAGCTCGACGGTAATTGACATATACTTCTTTTATTTGAGTTCAGAAGTTTGAACCGTGATATCTCCAATTGGTTGTATTAAAAAAAAGAGATAATAATTATAAATAAATAATCGAAATACTCAGATTTTTTTTAATTTAAAATTAAAAGCAATCCATCAACATTTATTTGGTGAAACTAACTAATCAATTTGATTGCTTTCTTACGTTGGCTTACATTTCTAATCATTCAGGTGTTGGTCTTTCTAAAAAAATATGTTTATTTGTTCTCAATTTCTTTAATTGGTAATTTATGTTTAAGATATTCTTAAAATCAAAAAGTATGTTTTTAAAAGGATGAAAGACAAAGATGAAGAAAATTATAGAAGAAAGAAGCAAAAATTTTCAAATTAAAAAACGAAATCGTTATCCAACGATACTGAAATAAAAGAAATGAACACAACTTAAATCGAAGCAATAGACATGACTAATCAATAGTTTCCTACCGACTTCTTGAGACAACACAGGCCACGAAACGAAACAAAAGGCACAGAAGAACGAGAAAAACAACGCCCGATGGAAAGAGAACTTCCTCTTCATCTTAAAAAACTTTGATTTCTTCTTAATTATTTCTTTCTATAACTAATCTAATGCAAGCTAATTGTGGCATATGGAGGTTTGAGAACCACTATTTATACAAATCTTAAGCTTAGGAGTCTTTTCCACCATTTTCATATGTTATATTTAAAGTTTTAAATGTCCACGTCTCAATTTTATGAAAATATTAAAAATTTACCCAACTCATTAATTTAAGCTTTTTGGTTAAGTGATGTAATATTCATTCTTCAGATGGTATGGAGGAGGAGGAGGAGGGAGAGATCCTATGTTTGAACCTCTGCATTGTCGTTTCCTCCCCATTAAATGGAAAAAATGTAACAAATATTTAAATTAACAAATAAATATTTCACACTCTTTTTAAATAAGTTAAAATTTATTAATGCCAAACCGAGCATAGCTCAAATGATTAAGACACCTATCTCTAACAAAGAGGTCATGAGTTTGAAACTCCATCTCCACTTGTTTTATAAGAAAAAAAAGTTAATGCTAACAATATATATACATGTGTGTGTGTATATATATATATTATATTTTGTCAATTTTTCTTTTTATTTTTAGGAAATATCGATTCACCTCTTTGAACATATATAAATGTCGAAAGAAATGTTACCATGTCAGGACAGAAATTTAATAGTTTGTTAGGTTTGGGAAAAAAATCAAAGGCAATGAATTCTTGGCAAGTACACATCACGTACATGATTAATAATGGACACTACAAACAAATTAAAAAGCTGGCGAAGGGTCTTTGGTTGTTCATATTTAATATATATTCATAAAGTCGTCGATCCATAATAAGAGTTTAGTGACATTAACATTAACTCTAACTTGTATTAAAAAAAAAACATTAACTATAACTTGGTTTGTGAATTTTGATTGAATGACTTATAACTTATAAGTTATAATAATGTCAAAATAAGCCTAATTTAACAGTAATTGACATATATTTTTAACAAGAGGTTGTGAGTTCGATCTCTCATCCCTCATGTTATATTTTAAAAAAATAATTATTATAATAATTCTATCGCATAAATATCAAACTCAGGATCACTTGTTTTCATCTGATCATACACTGCTGAATCACCAGTATCCAGATCCAAAAACTTGCTTTCAGATCTAGTTGTAGCTTAAGGTGTCGTAACTGGTCATTATTATAAGAAATACAATTTTCAATTACTTTTTAGAAACAAATTAAGTAGGAGAATATGAATTAAGAAAACTAGGATTTTATTATTATTATTATTATTGTTTTTTATAATAGACGAGACATAGTTCAAAATATGTATATTTTTAAAAGAAAAAAGAAAACATAGTTTTAAATACGGTTAACTTATAGCTTTTTTTTAGTGTAACAAATTGTGGGTACGAGAATTTGAATATCAAAATTTAAAGAAAAAGAGTAGATACAAATTACTATTGGGCAATATGTTTTTTAGTACAACAATTTGGACAATTATTGAGCAATGTTCATGTTGACAACAACTTATATATAATCAATCAGAGTCCGAACAAGAAATTGATGCTCGGATGGCCTAACATTATGCTAAAATCTTCTAATGATATTTTAAAAGAAACTATGTCAATCCAAATTCCGTTTCTCGTTTTGAGATTAATATGTGTTTTGCAGTATTTACATATTTGTTTTTAAAATTGTTACCGTATTCTCTAATCTAAACGGTGGAAATTCTGAAAACAACATTTTTATATTTGTAATGTTTCATTTTTATCTCTTCCCATTCATGGCTTGATCAAGGATTTTCTTAAGGAGACTTTCTTCCCACCTTTAATTAATTAACAAGGAGCCGCAACATCCTATGATCCAAGGGTGTGTGATCCATTTTATGGTTCATTTGGTTGGAAAGGAACAATAGACTCTTGTTAATTCCTCAAAATAATGCTCTCAGACTTGGAGGATATAAAGATTTAGCCTCATTGTGGTCCTTCAAATCCAATTTCTTTTGTAATTACAATATGACCACTATTTCTCTTAATTTGGATGCTTTCATCTAGCCTCTCCTTTTGTGACTTTTGTATGGTTCTCACATACTTTCTAATGAAATGGTTCGATATCTTTAAAAAAAAAATAGAATTATATTAAAAAAGATTAAAAACTTTAATAGATGTTATAAACTTTTATATATATATATATATATATTATAAAATTGTAAAATTATAATTATACAACATTTATAACAAAAATGTTAACAAACTAGTTAATATTATTTTAGATTAAACTATTTAGTTGGTAACTATTACCGGTTTACAAATATATTACTAAACATACGTTGAACAATTTTAAAACAAATAATACAACTCTATTTTCATTAAATCTCTTGTTTTCAAATTTTTGTTTTTTTAGTACCAACCAACCGCATCAAAACCTTTTCATGCATATCTTTCTAAAATAAGATGAATCAGGTCAATTATTAAATCCTTTAAAAATTGATTTGTCAAATTAATGATTAAATGACTCATTAATTAGCCATTGGTTGATAATTAAGAACTTTGAATAATAGTTTTTCAAAAAAAAAAAAAAAGCTTTGAATTATATATCTTGCAGTCAATGACACATTAATTAGCCGGGATCGTTCTTTTGTTCTAAAGAGGAACTCGAAACTATAATTTTTTTAGTGTATGTTTAGCCAAATTTATTTGGGGTGGTATGATTATATTATTGGACTCTATACAGTGAGTATGGATCTGTCGCATTAATAGAAGTCGTTCATCTAGATGTAAAGTACGGAAGATTTTGCTTGAGTCGGCTGCCACTATTTTTCATATTTGGAGAGAATGTAATTCCAAATTGCCTCTTAATTCAAAAGCTTTCTTTCTGTAGGTATGTTCCTTACATACTTCTTTGAATGAAATGGTTTCGGTTTCTCTTAAAAAAAGAAAAAAGAACTACTTCTTGTCGTGCTCCAGCTATCTTACATATTGTTAAAAGCGATTATGTCTACTACGCTCATGCCACTAGTCTATGGGATAGCATTTGTTCTAGCTCTCATTGATTGATAGGGTTTCCTAGAAGATTTATTTGCATAAACGAGTTGTTTGTTTTGCTTATGATGTGGTAATGTGTTTCTTTTGTTATTTATCTACTTTAGTTGATTTTTTTTTTGGTGAATCACTAGTAGAAATTCGGTTTATCGTGACGTTTTTTTAATGTCACAAAAATCTTTTGTGACGTTTTTAACACCGTCAGATATACGTCCATCACGAAAGGTATACGAGACGTTTAAAAAACATCACAAAAATTAGCACACGTGACGGTTAATTATCGTCATGAAAGACACGGACTTTCACGACGTCATAAAACGTCATGAAAAATGATTTCGTGACGGTGATACAAGGTCACGGAAAGACCTTGAACAGGGGAGGAGAGGTCACGTGACATCCTTTCGTGGCGTTGTTTAAACGTCAAAAAAAGAATATTTCGTGATGCTCGATAATTGTCCTCAAAAATATTTTTGTGACGGTTTACAAACGTCACTAATGATTTCATTTGAGATGATCAAAAAAGAGTCATAGAAAATTATTTAATTTTGATTGCAGATGTCGCGTAATAGAAATATCATATAGTCAAATTGTCGATCGAACACGCAAATATATTAATTTAGATAACAAAGTTGAACTATATTAAACATGAACACGGAAGCTAATATATTAATTTAGAATATACTAGTATTCTCAAACACAAATTACAAAATTACAGAATTAAACATGTTCCCTACACACCAACCCCGACAACGAAGCTCATCCATCAATTAGTTGCATTCCTAATTGTCGATGTCTTTGGGATTGTGAAAGACCTAATGAAAAAACAATACCCAAGTTAGATAAATGAATAACGAAAGATAGATAAGGTAAGAAAGTCACTTTCTAAAAAAAGTATCTATCTGTTAAAAATGGCAAAGGATCGTGACATTTGTAAATAACATTATTAAATAAACAAACTAGGAGCCTATCACAATAGTATTCTTTGCAAATATTATTCCAATGTCACAAAATTGATTAAACAAAAACCAACCTACGTACACTTCTTCTACATCCTTTAGTAATATTGCATAATATTTAAAAATTTAAAGAAGTATCATAATGATTGAAAACGTACATTAATCTTTTACAGCACTACAAATCATCAACATTCATAGTCTTCCTTATCAGCTTACTCGATAATCTGATAAAACAACCAACATAACAACCAAACAAAGATCCCAACCGAACAAGTGTGATTAGAACCTGACAACAAACACAAATGATTCTTTAAGCCAAATTTATCCATTGTTAGAGCAACTTTGCTTCACGAAACAAAAACATAAATTCACCAAATTGTTCATAATTTGAATGCTTCATAAATCTAAGCTTCATGTTTATCCATTATTATATGGAAGCAAAATGTAATCAATGCACAATAAGAAAGGAAGAAATGTATGACTAAACTGCAAGTTGTTATTTCTTTCTCTTATTCTTGAAGAAGATTATGCTTGTCCCAAACCTGCTAGAAGAAGAGCGTTATTAAATAATTTATTTGTGAAAAGTGTTCTTAGGCTGACAAATCAAACGTGAAGAAAAAAACAAAAAACTGCTTCCTCGTTGTCTAATTTAATCAATTTCAACTCAATTACATCTAACAGTAAAAAAAAATTAAACAATACAAATCAATCACTTTTGATATATTACAAATGAATATTATAAGGTCCAACTTCTGTTTCAATCTCAAAAACCTAAAAAACCAAAAGCCCACGATTAAAGTTCTGAAATCATAAGTATCTAGCAAAGACCAAAACAAGAAGGAGCCTATGAACAATTGCTAAGAAGGTCAAATCAAAATTGAAGTACCTGTAAAAATTTGCACAGACATTTATCGAACGCAAATAATTTTGTCAAAGGGCCACCTCCACAATGTTCCACAAAATCAGCAAACTTACCGTGCAAGGGTAAAGACTAACAAGGTAGTCTCAACTTTTCTAGCAACTCGACAGCAACCTTACCCCCAAAACTCAACAAGCCTGAATCTGGCATTGAAAATTCAACTACATAAGCTATCATGAACCTTGACAGCATTATCCAAAAACCTTTACTGGTACAAAGGTGAAAGTATAAGGACCAAAATAAACGTTTTGAAAGTAAAAAACCAAAATAAATAAAAGTCAAAACTACATGGTTTAAATTGGTATTTAAACCTTTTGTGGATTATTGAATGGTTGGTGATTTCGATCTCAATGTTCGCTCAAAGGTGGGACAAAGAAAAACAATGCAAAACTTGAGAGAAAAAGATATATGAGAGTACCATTGTAACATGTCGCCTTTAATATCCAAAGATCATGGAACTCTGATAAAATACAAATAAAAAATTAAAGCATCAATACAACATAGTTGACCATAGGCCACATAACTACTTTTATTTTTAGTTATGAGATGGAAGCTCACTTGCATTCGTAATCATCTTTACACACTACAACAAATTCTTGCCACAAATTATCTTCCTCCAGTCATGCCGCGTTTACTCAATTCTTAGTATAAATCTGTAAAGAAATTTGTAGAGATTCAGTTTAAATGCTTCAAGTTCTCAATTAACTAAAGAACAAAAAACACTTGAACCAAATCGTTTATCATTTACATTTAGATTACTTGAAGGAGAAAAAAACTTACAATGACTGTATAGCATCTTCCATCTATTAACATTCGTGGGTTCCATCTCAAAACCAATTGGCAATGAGAAGAGTAGTCCATGTTTATTAAAATCTGAATCCTATAAGCATCCATATCCAAAAAATGTAATTTTGGAATACATCACCGATAATGACCTCACAAAACTCAAAAAATTCCCAAAATTCCCAAAATGGGTTTTGAACAAAAATTGTGAGAAGTTATTTTTTCACCCACTATCCTTATCTTACATCATGTTTGCAAAAGCAAGAACTAGCTCAAAAACTCATAAAACGGAACAACTAAGCAAGATTCAAAATATTCCACAAACCCATCAAAGATCTTAGGTCTATCAGAAAGGGAAAACATAAAAATCCCCGAAATTTGCAACTAAAAATACAAAAGCAACATGATACCTCAAATTGAGAGAAGAATAAGAGAGATTCAACCAAGTGAGCGAGAAGCCGTGCGACCGCACATCTCGCAAGAGTAGGTTGTTGCACTGTCGGTGTGAGGCGCAGGTTGAGTAATGAGAGTGAGCGAGATGGTGATGGCTGGCGAATGGGGAGAGAAATGAGAGAGAAGGTAGTCGAATAGAGAGAGAAATCGTGTTGGGATGAAAACACAAGGGAGAGAGAAAGATAGGGTTTTAATTTCCTATTTCTTTCCTTTTTTTCTAATTTATAAATTCAAACAAAATTACTAATTTTTCTCTCAATATTTTCAATTTCCAAGTCTTAATTAAATATTTTTGGATTGAAGGAAAAAAAATTATCAACCATTTTGGAATATTGAAATATATAGATAAAATTAAAGAGTAAAAAGTAAAGATTTTCAATTGTCTATATTATTATTCATATCAAATTTTATTGTTTAAATATTTTTTCAAAATCTAGAAATTTAATTAACATAAACGAACCTGAACAAAATTAAAACTAAATAATTCAACTCAATGTATCTTGATAGCTCAACAGTGATGAGTTAGCATAATGACTTACACCTAACTCACACATGTAAGTGACGATAGCTTGGATCTTCGTGGGGATCGAGACGAACTACTGGAGATGGCCGAGACACATATTGATGTTTTTAAGTTTTATGAAATCTCGAAATTTTTGTGACCTCTCAAGTGATGTTAAAAAATCGTCATAAAGTGTACAAAATCTGCATCTATAAATATCTGCATGTCTTGGCAGCATACAGCGTCCAGCGCCTGCGACCAGCGGCGGTGTACAGCGTCAGAGGTATTCGACCCTGAACGACGTCGATCTTCAACAGCCGTGTTCGATCCTCACCGGCAGCGTACATCAGCGTTCACGGTGGCGGACGATCGGGCGGCGCGTGGTTCTTCACAATGGAGGAAGGGGCGGCGCGTGGTTCTTCACAATGGAGAAAGAGGGTAAAGAGATTTAGGACAAAGGAGAAAGGGGTAATGATATTTCTTTAAGTTATTTATCTTCTTTTTTTTATTTTATTAAGTCAAGTAAATGATATTTCTTTTAATAATAATATAGTATTATATTTTTTTTTTACGGTTTTAATAGCGTTCCACGAAAGGTTTTATATATTTTTTAGAGGCTTTTAATAACCTTCAATTAAAATTAAAAGTTTTTTTACGGATAAAAAAAACAAAAAAATTAAAGGTAAAAGGTTTTCAACATTTTCCGAAGCTTTTCGAGTCACCTTTAGTAAAATGAAAATTTTGGGTATTAAGTATATAGGTAAAATTACCAGAAAAATTGTAATTATTTGGCCCTCAATATTTAAATAATATTCTGAGTGCAAAATTTCGAATAAATTTTAGACTTTTAGAGTTTCATGTTTTCATAATTTAAATTCCAACAAATTAACTTAAAATGTCTATAAGTTAATTTCTTTATTTTTTTCTCCAGTTTTGTAAATTACAAATTTCAAAAAAAATTTACATTTTATTTTTCTTAAGATTTGCAATATCAAATTGCAATCCATTGTAATGAAAATGTAAGCATTATTTAAATCTTTTTGGATTGATGAAAAAAAATCCATGGAAAACTCACTTTATCACAAAAAGCAACTTTTAGTGAGTCACATAGTTTTCCAGTCTTATCTTCTTATCCTATCGTGACGATTCTAAAACGTCACAAAAAAAATATTTCGTGACGTTTTCTACGCTTCATGAAGAGCCGCCAATCCGAAAAACTTCGTCTTTTCCTGCCAAAAACGCCTCAAGTTTTTCATAACGTTTTTTAGATGTCACGAAAAATAAGTTTTGGTCAACTTATCGTGATGGATAAAATTCGTCATGAAAACACAACAATCCGGAACACTATGTCATTTCTCGCCAAAAGCGTGCCTCAAGTTTTTCGTGAAGGAAAAAAAACGTCACGAAAGGCCAAAAATCTGGAACTCTCCGCTTTTTCCCTCAAAAAATGCGTTTTTTACCTTTCGTGACGTATTTAAACAATGTTGAACAGTATTTTATTGTTCACCACCATCACAAAATCCCAAAATTCTAGTAGTGAATCTTATTGATAAATTTTTTTAATATCTATTTTCTGTCTTAATTTCAAGTTATTATGAGATAGCTATTTTTCTTGCAATATACTTCCCCTTCTAAATGAAAAGTAAAATAAAAGAAAAGTGTTCACTACTAGAAATATGAGTTTTAAGGACAATTTAACTTAATTTACCAAAGTTATATAATTGTCATGGATGAAGGCATGAAGGAAAAGGAGAATGTGACAGTTGTTGAAAATTGTCATCAATACATTTAGAACTACAGTTATAAATTTTCACGAATATATCTTCTATCACATTTTTAAAATGTCACAAAAATCTATTTGATGACAATTTATAACTATCACTAAAACAATAAAAAATTCGGTACTTCTATCAATGAAAATTGAATGACTACGGTTTATAATTGTCACCAAATGTTTTTTTAATGACAATTTATGATTGTCATAAAATGTATTTTAACGACAGTCCAAAATTGACACAAAATATTTTTTTTATCACAATGTCAAGAAAATAGTAATAATGATTATTTATAATGTTACAAAAACTTTTATAGTTGTAGTTTTAACGGTCAATATTGACAAGTTTAAATGTCATAAAAATCTTTATAGTGACAAATTTTAATTGTCATGATTACCTTTATATTGACAATTTTAACTAGTACAAAAATAATCTTATATATATTACAGTTTTTCTTAAACATTCACCTTTTTCAAATGTTGCTCCCACAACTTACTTCATCAACAAAATAAAACGAGCAATTAAGAAAATATTAATATCAACTTCCACATTGCTTTCTAACTCCAACATGAATTACATTGGTGAAATATGTAATCACACAACTACCTTAAAAAACATTATGACGAATCAATGATATAGATAAAAATAACGATAATCGCATACATATAAGAATGTGAAATATACTCACTACAACAAATATCAATCCTATACAAATATCAAATATCAACCCACAACATATAAATTTGAAGGGATCAAATGTCAGTATATCTAACTAACATATATATGTTTCACGCACTAACCCAACATAGTCTATAAATAAATTAGTTGCAATCATAGTTTTTAATTTCTTTGGGTGCGTGAAATATGTAAAAAAGAAAATAATGTTCAGTTTGCTAAATGAATAAGAGAAAATTACTAAATAAGCTACAAATAGAAAAACGAAAATTAAAGAAAGTCACCTCTAAATGCATTCGTGGTCTACACGAAACCATAAGTAGAAACCATATTTGCATAAATATACATAACACTAAATGCTTTGGTTGATATAAGCAAAAGAAACTTGACCGTACCCAAATATCAAAACACACCAATTTTTTTGGGAGTGATTAGTGACTAGCAAACGTACTAGAGGAGGGATGGTGGGATGGTGGGGTGTGGAGTCACACATTTGCAATGGGAGGTGTTTTTAAGTAAAAAACGATTGTAAAACTCAATTATATAAGGAAGAATAGAAAAGCTTAAACTTATCTAATTTTGTTGGTGCTTAGAGGTTTTGAAACTTACTCCAGATGAGAAATGGTCACGTCGTCCAATGTTATTCCAATAACAGCAACACGGCCTCCATATAGGCTTTGGTGCCATATGAGCTTCTAAAGCAAATCTTCTGCCATTGATAGTGTGCTCAGAAGTTAGTGCCAATGACACTGTCTAAGAAAATATTGAATTCCATTCACTTCTATGTATCCAGCCCCATCATCCCATTTCAACTGCAAACCATAAGAAACATGGTTTTTAGTCCTGAACAAGAACTGTATATCACTTTTTAACTAAAGATATTGCACCCACTTTTTTTTTTTCCTTAGAGAAAGCGACTTGAGCATATTGTTAGTTTTATGAACTTCAATTATACTAAATGTTTTGATGATAACAAACTGGATTTATTAATAATTTTAGTGTTTCAGATTGTCCATAGGGTAGGGTTTGGAAAGATGAATTCAATGCTTGTCAAATCACTCAAATCGAAATTCAAACGAAAAAGTTATGGTCAAAACAAGTGGGTCAATCCTACGGGATGGATGACATGGACAAGTGGACCACTCAGAAGTTGACACGCGGAACATGCTTATACGTGACATCCAACAATCGAACAAATGAGAAGAAGAGTACATGTGGCGCTTTCAATCTCTGCAATTCAAATTCCCACAAATCTCTCAATTAATCTCTACAATCACTCAAATCTTCATAAATTTGATTTCAATTTCCACAAATTTGTCCCATTCTCCAAAATCCTATTTATTTCATTTTCTTACCTCACCTCTTAATCTACACCGTTCATCATTTGTTGCCTTAAATTCAACTGCCAAATTGTATGTACGAAATTCTATTTAAACCATCAAATTCATCCTCTTCTATACACCAATTATCAAAGCAAAAATCATTCTTTCTTCAAGTTATTGTGCTCTCAAATTTTCATTCTCTCCACAAAAAAAGTTGTCCATATTTTTTTGTGAGAGGTACATTAGAGTGTAGCTTTTTAGCTATTGCTTTAGTGTAAAATTTGTAAATCTATCTTAATGAGTACTTTTCATTTGTATCACTTATTTTACATTCTGGGTTTTGTATTAAGGCATGGGTACACCTTGGGTTGTGAGAAAACACAATTGGTTAGATCATGGACCAGTTAAAAGGATCGTGCGTTTCTCTTTAGCCTAGGACAAAAAGAGGGTCGACGGTTTGGTTCTCACTCGTTAGAGAGCTGACACAGTAAAATACACGAGAAGGAGTTTGGAGAATGGAGTAGGAATTTCCGAACCACTATAAAAATTCATGGTGTCATCTCTCTCTACTATTCATTTGTGCATCTAAGTTTCATTTTATTGTTATTTTATTGTTATTCTTGAACTTTTATTTTTAAAACTACAAGTTTGTAAGTAACCCTCTTCCCCCCCTAATGTTGCTATATCAATCCTACACATATCTCAACTAGAGCACTTTTTTTCTAAGAGAAAAAACAACTTTTTTTTTTTTTAAGATATTGCACCAACTTGAACATATCTCAAGTGGTTGAAGTACCTATCTCTGACCAAAATATCGTGAATTCGAATTCTAAACCTCACAAGTAAAAATATTGTTAAGGGTATCTAT